GAGGGGGGGCGGGGCCGGCACCACGACACGGTGCTTCTCCACCTCTTCTAGGCCCTCGTCTTCATCTTCCGAGTCCTCAAGGCAACTGACGTGGTTCAAGTCCTCGCCTATGTCCAGCTCCTCGCCCAATTCAGCCCCCCTAGGTTTCTCCTCCCCCCGCGGTCCGCTCGATACTTGTCCTTCCGCGGTCCGACGTGCGCCTCGGTGGCGTGCCATATTCTTCCACAGGTTGCACATTTCAATTTCTTTAGATCCACCTGCACTCCGCCACAAAATGCGGCCCGGCGCATCGGTAGCACGTGCCTTTCTCAGCACCCTCAGGGCGTTCGGTGCGTTCAGGGCCTCTGCCCTTGGCTCTTGCTGCCGATCATTCCTGCAACGCTCAAAAATTTCATACAGCACGTGACAACCCGGGCCCTTTGCTCGCAGGTTGCTGTACGTGACGCCGTCCTGGCCTGGTGACGTGTTGCTGCGGTGGCGCAGCCTAGCAGCAATGGTGGCCTTATCTATGGTAGAAAAGACAGCGTCGTCTGGGACATGGCGCTCAGGAAGGACGACGCCCTCGGGCACGCCACTGAGCTCAGTGAGGCGCTCGCTAAAAACCTGCTCGAAATAGTTTGCCACGAGGTCAGGGGGGAGCTCACAGAGAGGTGACTCTTCCTCTCGGATTTCACGCAGGGCAACCTTTCGGTTCTTTTTGTACAGCTGCTGTAAACGCTCCGCCTCAGAGATGTTGCCAGGCCGTGCTGCTGGCCTACGACGCCTGCCAGGGTTCGGCTGCCGTTTGAGGCGAGCTAGTGGTGCCAAGGATGACGTCCCCGCCCATCCGATTGTTCTCTAGGCGTTCCAGACACTCCTCGCCCTTCTCAGCCAATTGAGCTTTCCTCAGTGCCAGGGTCAGGTTTAGAGTATCAGCCATTAAGAACAAGGTCGATGTCCACCAGACCACGTCTCGCGTAACAGGCTTCGCGATACTGTTACGCTGCCACGCGCCTGGCGCACACATAGCTAGGCCTGCGGCGCTGCCACCCGAGTCGGGGTAATAGAAGTGTATATACAATTTTTCGAAATAAAGAGATATTTGATAAAAATACATTTTGCGACCTGTAGTTTTTGATTTTTTTAAAAGCCAATTTTTGAGCTAGAATGCTCATCTTCGAACTCGATCTGTCTTTTTATGACACAAAACGACCCTGAAAATTTCAGGTCACTAGCTCAATTCGTTCACGAGTTATCGTGTGGACAGACAGACAAACACACAAACAAACAAACAGAATGAAACTTTTTCGGTCAGTGGAGTAATGGGCTTCGCTAATCGCTCAGCCAAAAAAACCTGTCAAATATGTTAATCCGTTTGGTATTGAACCGGGTTGTAATCCGTTTGGTATTGAACCGGGTTGCTTCCGTCTCAAAGTCCGTTGGGATGACCGTTGCGCTGCAGAGCGGCCATACTCCGCGCTCGCCTATCGCTCTCCTTCTTTCCCTCACCTTCCCTCCCCCGTCGCTACTCCGTGTCTCTCCTTCCATCATCGTCAATACTCCTGTCCCTCCGTCCCCCTTCTTTCTCTCAGGGTTCCTTTATTGGCTGAGCGATTAGCGAAGCCTATTACTCCGTCTGGTCGGAAAAAACTTTTTCTGTCTGTCTGTCTGTGTGTCTGTCTGTCCGCACGATAACTCCAAAACGAATTGAGTGAGCGACCTGGGATTTTCAGGGTCGTTTTGAGTCATAAAAAGATAGATCGAGTTCGAAGATGAGCATTTTAGCTCAAAAATTGGATTTTTAAAAAATCAAAAACCACAGGTCCCCAAAATGACTGTTTTTAAAAATATTTTTTTTCTGGTTTCCTAGGGGGTAACTCATCAAAGTAGAGCCCTCTGGGCGAAAATTTTGTCCGTTTTACTCTAGCTCCAACCATTTAGACGCTAGAGGGTATTTTTGACGAAAATAAGCGAAAAAATGTACAACCATGCATGCTTAGTCTAAGTGACGGGGTTGACGGGCCGGAGGCCCGAATCTTTGAGTACATTTTTGCTCTACCCGACTCGGGTGTCAGCGCCGCAGGCCTAGGTAGATGTATGTCAGGCGCGTCGCAGCGTAACAGTGTTTCGTGAGATATCGCGAAGCCTGTTACGCGAGACGTGGTCTGGCGTACATCTACCTTGTTGGCTGAAATCAAAAACAACGAGTCCCAAAAATGACGTTTTTTGACAATATTTTTTTATGGTTTCCTCAGGAGAAACTCATGAAAGTAGAGCCCTGTGAGCGAAAATGTCGTCCGTTTTGCTCTAGCTCAGACCGTTGAGGCGCTAGAGGGTATTTTTGACGAAAATAAGCGAAAAATGTACAACCCTGTATGCTTAGTCGTGGTGACGGGCCGTTGATGGGCCGTAAGGCCCGTATCTTTGTGTACATTTTCCAACTATCCGACTCGGGTGACAGCGCCGCAGGCCAAGGTAGATGTATGCCAGGCGCGTCGCAGCGTAACAGTGTTTCGTGAGATATCGCGAAGCCTGTTACGCGAGACGTGGTCTGGCGTACAACTTCCTTGTTTATGTATCAGGCCGTTCTCTTTTCCAGGTTATCCACAGATACAGTTTACAACATCATCCGCAATTTCAGACAAAGTTCAAAATCAAAGGTAAGCAAACAAAACATTTCATCTAATATTAACATTTTTCGATTTCTTCTTTACTCTTTCCGCGAGGGGTCTGCAGTTCGTATAATCAAAAGTACACGACCCTATAATCACTTATAATCACGTCTATAATCCATAATCTTTTATAATCATT